TAAAAAATGAGAAAAACTATACTATATTAACATAAAACTAACTATATTAAATAAAAATACAAAATAATTTCGAACTGTCTTGCTTTTCGGTGTCACATGCAGCACTTTCCAATTTTGTACATAAAATTTTATCAGTAAGTTCGTTAAATAAGAATATTATATAAACATAGGCTCTTAAATGTTTTATCGAAAGATTACAAGGAATATATAAAATGATAACGAACGATTTTCCCCTTCGATACCACATACGAATAATTCACAACTTTCATATTTGTTTAATAATGTTTAATACTACCATCGAGTTTATATAAACATTTTCCTTATTTTTATTTGTAGAATATGTTAGTGAAGTTATTTGAGCAAAATTGAAACACCTATATGTGGTATCAAACAACAAAGCAGTCCGTTGTCAATTCATATCTTTGTTATAACTTTTTAATAAAGTAGTAGAAACTTTATATTGATATAACATTCTGTAGACATAATTTTAGATTTTAGAGTATTTTATAATATTGAAGGTTCACCATAGCAACAATAAAAAACCAACGAACCATTACTTGTCCGTTTTACCAGTTGGTTGGCACATTGAGCCCAGGGTTGGTGTAGTTGTATTTCTTTTTTTTCGGTTCTATGTAGTTTGAAAAGTCGAGGCGATCCTTAAGTTTATTACTGTTACGGTAATTTGTAAGTTTAGGGCCGAATGGGTCATCGGTCAAAGGTTTTGGGCCGGATGACCGCCACAGGGGAAAGTGGGAATTCCCGATTTCGGGAAACGTCACCCCCTTTCCCCCTCCGTTTTTCTCCCTTCTTAGCGTCCTGGGAAGACATATATGCACTGTACAGGAAAATGCGCGAGAGTGTATCCTGAGAAATTGAATTGAACATTAAACACACTCCATATTCTTGTTATTTTTGTTAAATTGTTGTTCGGCCTCTAATTTATTTTTTTCTATTTTCCCACCTTTAACTCGGTTATTGTCTACAATTCTCTCCTAACTGTCACGAATAGAATTTGTATGTAACGCTTGACGGTAAAAGACTAGGACATCCTGTTACATAATACTAGGACATACTTGGTTGCATAATCAGTAACCTCCATAATACTGCTACATCGTATCTTTGTTATAACTGTCTAATAAAGTATTTAAAATTCTATGTTAACATAACATTTTTTTTTTTATTTTTACGAATATAATGTATAAGTAAAGTTTGAATGTAAAAAACTGAGACACCCTGTACAATCATCTGTCCCCGTTCACGTAAAGAATTCCATTGAACGAATCGTGCAAAGTACCCTTCATTGTCTCATTTCATAAAATCGCATTTTGTTCCATTATTTCCTCGACTCCACTTGTTCTAAAACGATTCACCGGAATACCAGGAATCTGCAAAATTCTATCGGGATCGTAAGAACACTCGTAGAAATTGCAGGGAAGATTCGATCCCGCGGTCGTAAGCAAACATCATCGTGTTCGGTTTGGCAGGAGTGCTGAAACTAATGGAAAAGATATCGAACCGAGCCACGATGCTATTAGTTCGGACAGTTTTCCGAACACTGATGATCCAGAATCTTGATCCTATATTGCGGTAGAGAAGCCTATCGACCGGATTCGCGTGCAAGCTAATTCGATTACCTACTAGGATCGTCTAAAGCCTTGTTATGGAGCACGACCAGGACCAGCAGCTTGAATCTCGTTAGGTCGCTCATCTCCCTATGGGGAATTGTTATCCTTCCACCCATCGAATCGACGTTTTCGAATTTCGACCTGTAAAATGAACGACAAATGCAATTACGCTGTTCGAAGAAAAATATCCCTGCTATTATCTCCACACCTAATGTCGAATTTCTGATAACAACTACGTGACATACACGTGACTTACACTATAATCGGAATATGACAAAGACTGGTATTTTCACTGCACTGAATTTTAGGTTCAATTCGAAATATAATTTGTATCATCAAGGATTGCTGAAGGCAAAACATGCCTAACATTTTAGCATTCTTTAGTTGTCTTAACGTTGTAGCAATAATTAAGGAAGTTTTGAATGACGCACTTGTCTAGAAAATTATAGGTTAAGAAGTTAATTGCATACCCAATGCCGAGTCTTTTTTATGCTACTACAACTATGTGTCACACATGTGACGGAATGTGTTGAACCAGTCTCGTATTTTCACAACAATTGAATTTTGGGTTTAACTCTAATTATAATCTGTATCATCAAGATTGCTGAAGGCAGAACGTGCCTAACATTTTAACATACTTTAGTTGTCCTAACATTGTAGCAATAATTTGGTAGCTGTAAATGTCACAACTGCCTAGAAAATTGTATATTATGGAATTAACTCCACGCCTAATGTTGACTATTTATAACATGAAAATTGTTATCTTCATATCTAATACTGCCCAGTCTTTTTGACAACTCGTCAATTGTTATCATCTCTATACCTAATATGTCCTATCTCTTTGATGACTCGAAAATTATTATTATCTACATATTTCTTATTGAGTATCATATTATTGGGTATAATACTAGCAATAAAATAGCTATTACTGATATAACATACTGAAACAAGTTTCACGTAAAATAATATCAGTTGATCAATTTAATAACTCCAGTTAAATCTGTAGTAGAAAAAAAATAATTCAAGGTACGAAAGAAAGTGCCAAGGGGAAAATCAGACATCTCGTATCGATCCTGTGCGAAATCGCCATCAAGAGCCAGACTACACGAAAAAGGATGTCCCTCCGGTCTGGCTACATTCTATTCGAGTGTCATTATCACGCGTTGTATGGCATATCGCGTCTGTAGGTCGTGAAAGCGACGGAAGTCGAGCACTCTTGGCGGTCATTGAAAGTGCTCGAGGCAATCGCAATCTGGCCGACCCTTGTACGTCTATTTCGGTCAATTTAACGCCATCGCGTGGACAATTGACCGGTCACTCGACTGTGTTCGCCAAAAGAATGCAGGATCGTTCACGAGAAGTCGTTACACGAGAATGAAAGAGGCCACCATCGTTTTTGACCTGACCACGAGCGGAGGTCAGACGTTATCTGGCTGCGCGTGGCCGCCAGACCAACTTGAACTTCAAGCACCGGTTTCGAACTGTGATCGATTCCACCCTCGAAAAAAGAAGCAAATATCGCTTGTTATGTGCGAAGGGAGGCAACAGTGAAATCCGATATGACAGGAAATCACTTTTCCAATTTCGTAGACAGTGTATTTGGAATTTCGGGTTTCGACAAGTATGAAAACAAGGCAATTTGGAAATTTGTAGGTGTGGACGTTTCACAATTTGGAAATAGGGAACATTTAGAAATTTAGAAATATGAGAATTTGGAAATTTAGGAATATGGAAGCTTCGAGAAATGAATATTTGCTATTTTGGGAATTTGGAAACTGTTATTAAGTCGAATCTATCCTCGAAAAAAGAAGTAAATATCGCTTGTTATGAACGGGTGCAGGCAACAGTGATATACGATATGGTAGAAAATTACTTTTTTAATTTCGAAGGCGGTGCACTTTGAATTTGGGTTTCTATTAATATGAACATTTAGGAAGCTAGGAATTTCTGAATTTGAAAACTTGACGATTTAGAAATGTAGAAATTTAAAAATATAGGAATTTGGGAATTTAGAAAATCAAAATTTAGAGATTTGAAAATTCAGAACTTTATAAAATATAGAAATTTAGAAATTTGGAAATTTGGAAATTTGGAAATTTGGAAATTTGGAAATTTGAAAACTTGGAATTTTGGAAATTTGGAAATTTGGAAATTTGGAAATTTGGATATTTGGAAATTTGGAAATTTGGAAATTTGCGAATTTGGAAATTTAGAGATTCGGAGATTCGGAAATTCAGAAATTCAGAAATTCAGAAATTCAGAAATTCAGAAATTCAGAAATTCAGAAATTCAGAAATTCAGAAATTCAGAAATTCAATAATTTATAAATTTAAGAATACAAACTTTATAATTTATGAATTTATACATTTGAAAATAGGAAATTTCGAAATATGGATATTCTTGAATTTGGAAATTTGGAAACCTTCCATCAAACCCATATCAGCCTCAAAAAGGGATGAATCTGCCTCATTATGAGGAAATAATGGAGATACCGGTGATATCCGATATTGCTGCAAATCCCATTTCTAATTTCGTGAACAATGCAACGTAGTATAATCTAAAAGTTCCGACCAACGTACATCATACCTGACGTTAATTTACGTCTACGGAAATCATATGAGGTAATTGAACACTGAGTCCAACGTGCATCGTTAAATGTACCTCGAAATAGTACTATTATTCAATACTGTTTGCAATTTTTCTTTAACTATTAAATAACTTATCTATTTGCATTTCTAAAAAATTTGTGTGCTTTAGAAAACGTTAAAAATAATACAATATTGATAATCATTCAGGACGTTGTTTGGTTAATAGTCCAAAAACGAAGCTCCAAACCCCATTTTTGTAAAGAGAAATCTCATTCAGAATCACATCAGCTACACCCCATTTCAGGGACCTACACCATTTGTGAGACACCCTGTATAACACTTTAACTTCTGGATTATTAAACCAAAATGCATGATTACTAAACCTTAATGAACTAAAGCTTAATATTAAGACTTGCATTTTTGCATTTTCGGCGTTAAAAACTATCAGACGTTAAAGAAATGCAACAAATTTGTGTGCTTCAAAGTAAAGTTTAGCTAACAAAGTTAAACAAATCTACAAAAAGTGCAGGTTACAAATCATTCGAAATACAAAATCGATACATAACTTATTCAACGTTTTTCTTTCTCGCGAAACAAAAACTGCAGAAACTCGTACGACCGTATAATTCAAATTCTTTTTCTCGGTTGGTCGTTGTTAATTCAGGCACGGCGTTCCAGAAAATTGTATAAATCGTCGTCGTTGAAAGGAGCATCCTCCCGGGTATTTAACGTCCCTTGGCTGTTTCTTATGCACAGAAGTAATTCCGCGTGTTTCATCTGTGTGCAGATATCAATGAGTGCACCGTTGACAACGGCGGATGCACGGAGGTCTGCGAGAATACGGATGGCAGCTTCTTCTGCGCTTGCGACGGTGATGAAAAAGCTTTGTCATCAGACGGCAAGTCCTGCGTGGGTAAGTTCTCCCTGACAAGGATAACGTTTTCAACCCTTGCACGTTCCTTCAGGATCATACATCATTTGCGCGTCCTCCAAAGTAATATGTCTGAGCGTCGGTCGACGGCATGTGGCAATTTCTGAAGTACAGTCGCATGCAATATAATATTCTTTTGGGTAACGGTGCAGGGGAGAGCATCTGTAAGAGAGAGAGAGAGAGAGAGAAAGAGCGAGTAAGTCCGATTGGAATTTCGGGGAGAACGTTAGACGAGAGTAAGCCGTGCCGGTGAGCGTACCGTGCCATATATACATATATAGTTGTATTTGAGTTAATTATATATATAATATACAATAACATAATTCGTTACATTTTTCGTTTTTCCGCAACATTTTTATTTCCTTTTAAAATTTCCTACACATCAGGTCCCTCTATATTTTCGGAGAACTAGGGAAAAACGTGTATGATTAATAGAATCTTATTTTCAATGAATATTTGGTAAATATTGAGAAAAATGGACAGTTTCACTGAGTTTTACTTTGACGTGTATTATTAAGAACGTGTTCTGTATCTTTTCTTTATAACTTACTTGAAATTTAATTAAAGTATAATTTATGCTTATAATAATAGAGCAATTTATACTTACACATTGATTAGTAGAATTTTATAATTAATCACTACTTTGTAGTGTATAAAAATTGTGTACATATGTAAAGTAATTTATACTTATTATATAATTTAATTAAAAAATATATATGTTTGCATGTGCATATATATAATAAATAATATTATTATCCCACTTGAATAATTTTTATATAATTTTTGTTATCATATGCAATAGAATTATATTAAATACGTGTATACGGTAAATAGTTACATTCTAATTGTCAAAATTATTTTTTGTTGCAATGTTTCTTAACCTATTAAAGTATTTATTTCATAAATCGACGTTATATTGGCTGGGGTAGTTTCATACTCCAGTGAGACCTTTAAGCGTTAATATTTAAGTAAATACGTCAATTTTCTTTTACACGATATTTGCACGCTACAAATTAGTATTTAAGAAACACTGACCATAATTTCTCACCACAAGCTAGATCATTGAAAATATAAGAGCTAATATGTTCGCACCACTCACTGTACAACAAAATTTAGTATTTATATTATTTCATTTGTATTAAACTTATAACAGGAAATTGGAAAGATTTACAAGTTTACAAACTATCAGCTTTGAATCGTTGATGTGTAAGCTCTGGAACGCGTTCCATAAACTCGTCATCCATCAGGTCCCTCTATATTTTCGGAGAACTAGGGAAAAACGTGTATGATTAATAGAATCTTATTTTCAATGAATATTTGGTAAATATTGAGAAAAATGGACAGTTTCACTGAGTTTTACTTTGACGTGTATTATTAAGAACGTGTTCTGTATCTTTTCTTTATAACTTACTTGAAATTTAATTAAAGTATAATTTATGCTTATAATAATAGAGCAATTTATACTTACACATTGATTAGTAGAATTTTATAATTAATCACTACTTTGTAGTGTATAAAAATTGTGTACATATGTAAAGTAATTTATACTTATTATATAATTTAATTAAAAAATATATATGTTTGCATGTGCATATATATAATAAATAATATTATTATCCCACTTGAATAATTTTTATATAATTTTTGTTATCATATGCAATAGAATTATATTAAATACGTGTATACGGTAAATAGTTACATTCTAATTGTCAAAATTATTTTTTGTTGCAATGTTTCTTAACCTATTAAAGTATTTATTTCATAAATCGACGTTATATTGGCTGGGGTAGTTTCATACTCCAGTGAGACCTTTAAGCGTTAATATTTAAGTAAATACGTCAATTTTCTTTTACACGATATTTGCACGCTACAAATTAGTATTTAAGAAACACTGACCATAATTTCTCACCACAAGCTAGATCATTGAAAATATAAGAGCTAATATGTTCGCACCACTCACTGTACAACAAAATTTAGTATTTATATTATTTCATTTGTATTAAACTTATAACAGGAAATTGGAAAGATTTACAAGTTTACAAACTATCAGCTTTGAATCGTTGATGTGTAAGCTCTGGAACGCGTTCCATAAACTCGTCATCGCGTGAAGAGAGGAAAATTATGATGAACCTAACCTAGAAAGCGGATGATGAAAGACTTATGTCTCTACAATTTCCCTTAACTCGGTGAAGCTTATTGTAAGCTGCACGCGACTGTACATTGCAATAATATTATCATTCCGAATGCTCAGTTGTACGCCAGCTTTCAGTTTTTTGCGATTAATACTTGCACAGTTGAATAATGTGTCCCCTTTATTACACCGTACTCACGGGACAACGATAAATTTCCCCGTGTTTCTTACATTTGGATTAATTTACCGCCAGGATGGTTTTGCATCCAGCGGAATTCAACATTTTCAATTATTTCACATCGTTGAAGGATTTATGGTTTCGGTACTTCTGCTGATTGTTGAGTCGATGAATAAGAGCGTTTATACGCTGCTCGAGTCTTTTGATGTTTAACAGAATGGAGAATTATTCGTATAAAAGCTGTTAATAATGATTATTTGTTATGATGAGTAATGCGTTATATTTTATTATCATTTTCAAAGAATATTTTACTGCGTAGCTATCTATGAGTAGCAAGTGAAAATTAAACGAAATTGAGATTGCAAACTTCTAAATTTAAAAATTTGAACAACATGAAATTTACTACCACGAACCAATAAAAAAATTTATAAAATAAAATCTTTAAAATTGATTTCCATATCGCTTTATTTTAAGATGATCATACTTACAATTTTATTATGCATAATCGCATATTTGTGTAATTTATTATTTTTACTTATAATTCTACTCATTACAATATTCACTCTTAAAATTTGTAATCAGATTCAATTTTTAATTTAATTTCAAATAAAATTGTTACATATTCATATGGTTACGATATTAATCGAATATCCACGTTATCTTCGCTGCAATCAAGATTCAGCTGTTATGCAAAAAAGCAAGGTCGCAATATTGGTCCACGTGGATTGCATTTGTACCGGTGCATTTGGAATTTAACCGGCAGATATTATTCCCATTTTATTTCTCGGTTGTTCGAATTTTTGTTGGACGAGTTTGCTCTCGTTTGCATAAACTTATCGGGCAATAAGGAAGACACAAGAAGTTCCAGCGTGGAATTTGCATTGCTCCGGAACACGCTAACGTTTTACAAGTTTCTCGGCGAATATGAAATCAAGTGACCCAGATTGCGATTGTTTGCACAGTTATGTCGATTCAAAACCCAAGTATACATTTCGCGACGAACCGATAATTGCCGAATTCCATTAAATTATCGAGGACGATGGTGTTCAATACGAGCTCGCGGAAACAAAGTGTGATGGTGAATATTTATGACGGTGAATGTTTGTACCCAATAAATTCATATTTTACGTTTAGTCAAAAGTAAATTGCGTGAAATTCCTTGTTATATGCACAATTTGGTAAATAAATAATTTTAGATGACTACTTACATTTAAATTGAAACTAAACTATAAAAATAAATAAGCTTGTTTATGCAATAATTTATATTGTAGGTTAACATACATTTTAACAGAAGTGTCTCAATATTCATATTACATATCAGATTTACAGAACCTGTAAAAATGACAGATCTTAGACTTTTTTAAATTACAGAAATTATTACGAAGCTTCTGTCCAATGTTAACTTTTATTAAAGTAAATTGTATAAGCTAATTTATTACTATTCCTTATTTATTTATTTTTTCCACTGCAACTTCAATTTAAAGTAAATTCCTATTAAATTTTCGTAAATTTAGTATTAAAATAAGAAATCTAAGATCCGTCATTTCGATAGATCTTAATAAATTGAAATTAAACTATAAAAATAAATAAATAATGAATAACATGTAAACTAGTTTCTACAACGATTTATTTCGAGGAGAGTTATACATTCTAACAAAAACTCAATTTTCGTATTTAAAATATAAGATCTAAGATCCGTTATCTTCACGTACATCACATAAATCTAGATTGAAATGTCAAAACTGTATATTACAAAAAATAACGTGCTTATAAATTTATAAATTAACAGTAAGGTTCTCCAACCGACTCCAACCAAAATATGATTGCAATTTATTTTATGATCGAGGAAAACAAAAGATGCAGACCAAAACCGTCAGTACCGAAACGAATAGTTGCATGGGAAAGAAAATAGGAGATTCGAAATCTGTAGCGTTCGATACCAACCGATTACGTAGGATATCCGTGGATACAGAGGACTCTAGCCCAGAGATCAGTATTCCAATCACGCGAACACGATAGATACGCGGAATACAATCGAGAGTTGAACTCGTGACCTCTAGAAACTCGATAGGGATGATCATGGATTAACACGATACGATAGGTGGTGTTTCGGAATCGTTGGACCTAATAGAATGTATATCAAGTTTGCAAGACATCATATAGTGCCCGATCAAATAACATGTAAAGACCATGAAATTCCTTATACTAAAAATAGGAAAAGATATACGATAGAATTGTTTGATTTTCGGCTTAGTTTCCGAGAAAATAAAGTTTGAAAATCCACTGCGTTTCTGTGCTTTTATGGCAACATTTTCTGTCAAGCAATGTAAACGATTGTTGTACTTCATCATACTTCAGTGGACATGTAAGAAGATTTTTAAACGATAATTATGATTATTGGATGGGGCGTGGAAGAACGATCGCCTGGCCTCCAAGGTCCGTAGATCTTACGCACTTGGACTTTTATTTATGGGAATACATTAGAGAAAAAATATACAGCAAAGATGTTGAAAGTCAGAAGCAATTAGTGCAAGCAATTAATTATGTATTTAAGGAATTGAAAAGTAAAAACACGTTACCGAGAGTGCGGTAATTCGACACAGCATATCTGTGCATCCGACAACTGGAACAATTTCAGCAACTTTGTAACTGAAAAATTCTTTCTGTTGAAAA